AACCAAACCAAACCAAACCAAACCAAACCAAACCAAACCAAACCAAAACCGTGAAGTCAACTTCTTTTATTTTTAGTGTTGAGAGATACCCAACACATCTGAAAAGTTTGCCAAGTTAATTTGAAATGACAAAAAAGTTAAAAAAAAAGTAAAAAAAGGAAACCAGCAAGCATTTGAGAAAGGTGAACGAATGAGCTAGTAGCTACATGTGGCTCTGTCATACAGAGTTTTTAGTAGTGTAGCAATTAGAGGATTGTTGCCTTTTAATTTAAAAAATGTTTTTTGCAGTATTGGGAATCAAACTCAGAGCCTTGTTGGTACCCACTAGGCAAGTGCTCACAGCTCTACCTCCCGGTTATTCCTCCAGAGGAAGTAGACACAGTCATGGAGGACAATCAGCTGTTTCTGAATGCCCTGGGATACTGCTGCTCTGAGAAGTGGCAGTACAGGAGGAAGGGAAAACATCAAGGAGAAGAACAGCAGCAGAATGACCTTAAGAAGTCTGCTTGGAAGCCTGAGGATGACAGTGTCTCACTGTGCAAACCCTCTAAGTTCATGTGCTCATGAAAGACTCAGTCAGAAGCAAGTCAGGAACCATATGCGCTGTCTAAGCTGAACTGTGGCTTTAGAGATTAGCGGATTCAGAAAGATGAAGCCAGGAGCCTGGCTTACGGAACAACCCATTCTTTTGCTCACGCAGACTTTCATGCTGCTCTGAGGGAGACAGTCAGAGGCCTATCTTTACCTTTCCTTTCATCTCCATGAACCCAGCTACATTCTGGTTTTGTACGCCCGAGTTCCTTGATATGATGGGTATTCTGATGACTGTACACTGCTAGCTGCCTGCTGGGAGAGCTTTAGAGGGGGTAAAATCCTGCAGACTAATGAGTCTTTATACTTTGTATCTCCATTTCTTTAGTTAATGGCATCTGAGCTTTCACTGAAGCTCTTTCTGTCACCTTAAATAGAGTTAAAATGTTCCTTTGGAGATTTGAGTAAAACAGAAGATACATACAGAGGTCTATTCCTTTAAGGAGGGAATTGCACTATGAAATCAAAACTGAGGACCAGCAAAGAGCAGAGTAAACCCAAAAGCTGAGCTGGGGCTGATGTGGAGCTCAGCAGTAGAGCATGCTGCTCAACAGGCACAAGTTATTGTTTGCTTTTAAAGCATGGGATTGAATGAGTGAATGAGGAAAAACGTTAGCTACAGAATGATCTTCTATGTTTAAAGATGCAAATTCCTTGTAATGCCTGTCTGCCCACCCTGCTTGGTTCTCTCTGTAGCCAAGGATGACCTTGAACTCCTGGTCCTCTGCCTCTATCTCCTAAGTGCTAGGGTTAGTGCATGTGTCAACATGCCTGGCTGTGTAATACTCTTAAAATGGGAGCTATTTAGATATCTCCTCAGACTTTAGTCTATTTCCTCTAGCTGCATTCTCATAGGAAATAAGAGTTGTTCTAGAAGGTTACTTGGAAACCTAGTAATTCATAAGAAAACCAAACCAAAAACCAAAACAAACCAAAACAAAACAAGGCAAAGGGAACCTGAAATGGTCATGTCCATTTTTCTGTGCCAAGCTTTACAGAAAAACAAAGTGACAGAATCCAAGTATTGTATGGATGAAACAAGTTAAGCAGCTATGAACAGCCAGGAAGGTAGCTGTCTCCCCACTCATAGAAGTTCCACAAAGCAGCATCTTACCCAAGATATTAAATTTGGAAAAGAATGAAGGAGACTTGAAGTTGAGCAGCGGCAACAGGAGCCCTATAAGGTAGAAGGGCACTGTCTTGGACTTGTCCCACCACTTCTCAAACAGCTGCACTTCTGTGTCGTTGTCATAGAAAATCATGGAGCTGTTGTCAGGATGGCCACCACTCCCAGCATTGGGACAAATCACTGTGAAAGTAAATGCATGCCACATTAGAGATGAGAGCACAGGGGCTGGAGAACCGCTGTGCCCAGGGGCTGGCAGCTGTTCAGCTGTCAGCACGAACACAGGCTTCCTTCTTGGAAAGGGTTGTATATATGCTTTAGGAAACTTCTGTTTTGTTTGTTTGTTTGTTTTGAATAAATTTTTGAGTTTTATTGAAATCTTACATAAACAAGAAATTTGAAATACACTCACATCAAAGAACAAATTGTCATGGCTTTGACATTTAAGTCAAACAAATTTTGTAGGGAAGATTCCAAAAGGTGTGGTTGTAACAATTTACAAACACAGTTACTCTGCTTCTAGGAATGCAACATACAGTCACAGGTTACTTCCAATACAAGGAAACGAAGTCTGTTTGCATTAATTTCTTCAAACTACTAAGACAAAGCCCTGGCATGCACTTTTATTAACTGCTTCCTTCAGACTCCTATGTCATCTTTTCCAAATCCAAAAAGCCAGAACTGTCCAAACCAAAGGTTCTGCAAAATCATGATTTAACAGTTCTTCTGAAGCTAAGCTGACACTCAGAACGATAAAAGCATTGTAGCTCTAGAATAAGAGAACTCTGCAAGCACGATAATGTCCAAGAGCATTCAGAAGAAAAGAAAAATAAGAAGCCTTGAGTATATACACAATTGTGATTTCTTCAGCTGAATACAAATGGCAGCAAACTGCTACTTAAAGATGAAACAGTTATACCAATTTTGTTTGGAACAATGTAGATCTAGAGCCAATTGGATCTTGACAGAATTGTTTTCAAACCCTCACTTGTCTATTTCCACTGTTGCCTGTAAGTATTCTGATAAAATTCTTGGTTGTCATTATTGTAACCATAGTTAGCAGAATGGCCACCACCTTGCTGAAGCGGCTGCTGAGTGATGGATTGGGAACCCAGTTCTGTTGGTTGTTGGAATCAGGCTAGTTGTACCCGTCTGCCTTTCTCTTGCCTCTTACATTGCCTCCTTGATCGTCCTGAGCTCCATGAGAACCATGGCCTCTCTGCTGTTGTGCAGGATTCCCTCTGCCACCCCTTGAGCCTCTAGTGGGTCCCAAAGGTGTCTCCCTTCTGTGAGTAGCCGCCAGCTCTAACTTTTGGAGGTGGTGCTCCCTGCCTCCTTGGTGGTGGTGGAGCACCTTGCCCCCCTTTCCTCTTCCTCTTCTTGCATAGCCATCATCACAGCTGTAGTAGGGATCTTCATAGACTCCATTATAGTCGTGATAACTATGACCATAGTAATATAGTAGTCTTCATAACCATAATAATCTGGAGGGTAGCCATACCCACTTCTCCCTCTATGATTCGACCTCTCATCGGAGGTGGCATTCGGGAGGGTGATAATAATCGTCTCCATACACAGTGCTTCTGGAGGCCTGTCTAGCAGCTTGGCGCTCTCTCCTTTTCTTATCTGGCGGCTTAGCTAAGACAATTTCAATTTCTTCCCCCTCTATTTCTTTCCCATTCATTCAGCCATAGCCTTGACAGCAGCTCCTGTATCTTCAAAATGAACGAATGCATAATCTTTTAACTCCTTCGCTCTCCAGTTTTCCAAATCAGAAAATGAGTTTCTTAATATTTCTTCTGTCACTGGAGCCAAGTGACATGAAAGCCAAGTTTCTCATAAATAAAACTTTTACCTTTGCCATGACTTCTGGATCTGGTTCTTCCACAGGGTCAGCCCACTCAACTAAAACTACATTTCTCCACACTGACTTTTCCACTCATGAGCCGCCATCTGGCTTGTGCTGCTGACTTGTGATCCTCATAGTCAAGAAAGCAGAACACCCGATTCTTCTTCTTGCCATTGGGTTGATGATAGAGAATAACGCCCACCAAACTCTCTGTGACTTTACTGAACTCTTCCAGAAGTTCTCTGTGGTTTTATTCTTTGGAATGGATCCAACAAAAAGTTTGTTGTTTGCCATGGAAATGTACACTCCCAGGTGTTTACCATGGCGAATCTCATAGCTGTCACACAATTTAACTGCTTCCTGGGCAGTTTCCTTTCCACAGAAGGTGTTAAGTGCATAGCCTCTGTTCTGACCAGAGGGTGGATCCGTCATGAGGTGCAGACCCCAGAGAGGACCAGCCTTCTCAAAAAGGGGCACCAACTCATCCTCATACAAGTCTTTTGTAATCTTACCTACGAAGACCTCTGTTCCAGTTCCAGGTTGCACACCCGAGTAAACACTGTCTGGTGGAGGACTGCCATACTTCCTCTGTCCTGTCGTTACATCCAAAGTCTAACCAGTCCTCTCAAGCAAGGCCGTGCATGGTCTTTGTTTCATCAGGTCCTTTTGTGGACTCCTGCACCTTGCTGCCTTGCTTCTCTCTTTGCCTGTAGGTCTTCATAACTCCACATAAAAATGCACTTTTGTTCTGAACCAGAGATAAGCCACTTTCTTTGAACTGCTGTAGTGCAGACAGAGCTCCTTCTTCATTAAATTCCCTGAGAGCATCAATGGCTCTTTCAGCAAGATTGACATAAGCTACCAACCCAGGGCAGAGCTGGGGGGCCAGTGGCCTGGTCTGTGAGAATCAGTGCAAGGAGCTTTGAAAATGACAAGAAATGGCGCCTGTGCCACCCCCCTACTTTAGGAATCTTTCACCCAAACAGTGAAAGGCAAAGTAATCTTTAAAAAGTTTTGAGGTAACATGCACTTATATTAGGAACAAGAGAAAGCACCTACAAAATGTTCCTTGGCCCCATTGCTGGACTGAAAATATTGGATTTATGGTATCTCAATAATATAAGAAATATCATGCAGAGTGATTGTTGCATTATTAGCCAAACAAAGGCTAATAATAAGCATTTTCTCTTTAAAAAATATATTGGATTTTATTATTTGCATGTATGCATGTTTGTCACAGCTCATGTGCAGAGGTCAGAGGACAACTTGGCAGGGTCAATGCTCACCCTCTACTATACAGGTCTTGGGACTCAATTCAGGTCATCAAGCTTGCTGCAAGGACCTTCACCTACTGACCCACTTCACTGCCCCCCTTTTTTCTTTTCCTAACAACAACAATAACAACAATCTATGTTTTAGGGAATTAAAAGCAAAAATCCTCCGTCACTGGTGAAAAACTGAAGAATTTGGAGAATCTGAACAATTCAAAATAATTCTGCAGTTCACTCCATGGACAGCAGCCTAAGAGGCTAGATGCTAGACTGAAAACTGGGGAGTCTGGAGAATGTACGTGTGTCTCCTCTTTCTCTTTGCCCCCGTCCTCTCTCTCAGCATCTATCTATCTATCTATCTATCTATCTATCTATCTATCTATCTATCT